CTGGAAAATAACAGCAGCCATGTTCCGTATAGAACATTCTATAGCATATTAAATGCGTAGAAAGTTTGTCAAGTAATTACTTTGTAAATAACAAAGCTAAAAACTTTATAAAATAACTTTTAATGAACTCTTGGCTAGTTGAATTTATTGATAAAGCATTCAGCAAGATGAAATCGCATTTAATAGTATTTGCTAACTTTTGTACATTTTAATGCAATTGGCTCTTTTTGTTACTGTTTAACATTGTAAAGAATTTCTTACATGAAGAAAAAAAAAAAAAATAAATAAATAAATAAAACATCGTTTTAATTAAACTGTCTGTTGCAGCAATATTCATAGAATTTTGCGTTTGTTAAAATACAAGAAAAAATCGACCTACGCGTTCGGAGAACGGGTGAAGGCTTTTTAGCTATAATTTTAAAAATAGCATGCTTCGGGAAAGTCGCGGAATATATAAAATTCTGATAGTAACACAAATTTAAAATTGTATCTTGGCTACTTTAACTTATTTATTGGCAATACCATTTTCGTATCTCGAAAATATATTATTATAATATCTAGCTTAATGGAAATGCGTTTTGTTTCCGCTTAAGGGTATCGGTATAGGTGCCAAGTACCTTTTGCGAGTAGGTTTTTGGTGGTGCGGCTACTTAAATTTAAAATCGAATTCAAATACGAAATCAAATTCAAAATCATGGCCATGGCTCACATGCGATTTCTCGATTACGGCTTTCGGCCATACAACAAATACACACATGCCAATAACAATAACAACACCAAATACATACAAATAAAAATAAAAATCAAAATAAAAGTAAGATAAACAAGCTTGGTTGAATAAATGAATATTAAATGGCCAAACGTCGGTGGAAAAAAAATACAGTTGAAGAAGAAGAAGTAAACAAGTAAGAACGTTGCAATCAAAATTACCCGACTGTGCTATACTCTGTGTCCAGCATAATAAATGGGAAAGCGCCCGCCTTTGCATACAATACATATATAACTCTAAGACAGTGGCTTCCAAACTGTATTCAATATGGCCATTAGCGATTGGTGTGTGTGTGTGAGTGTGTGTGTATTTCTAGCTGCAATATGCACCCTGAGCTGTAACAGTGGCTTCACAACTGTGATGCGTATGTGTGTGTGTGTCTTGCTGGCTGAAATATGCACAAACACTGTAGCAGTGACTTTGCAACTGTGATTCTAAAACTAATTCACATTTATATATGTAAGCAGTTTATGTTAAGGAAGTACATAGATCCGAGCAGCTGCTGGCACTGGAGCTACAATGTGAGCTTGACTGACAGACCAATTTTTCATGTACCCTGTTCTCTAATTTTAGGCTCGGCATAGCTAATATACCAGTTTCCGTGATTGTAACAGGGCATACAAATATAAATAAGCGTATGGCAAATCCAAGTGATATTTGATACGTAAATACCACAAAATGTTTGCATGTTTGTTTGTTTGCGCTATCAATTTGCATTGTGAATGTGCGAATGGGATTGAGAGGGCCAGTTAAAGTGCTGGGTGGCGGCGGGCGCGGGGGCGGTGACAATGGTGGGTGCAGAGTACGCAAAAAGCCGCACATAAAACACAAACCTAGAGCCAAAGCCAAAGCCAAAGCCAAAGCCAAAACCGACACCAAAACCAAAACCAAAGCCAAAACTCGCAGCACATGCAACCAAATGCGACGCGGCGAACAGCGCTGAAAGCGCACAATTTGATTGACGGCGACGATGGCGACGCTGACGACGCTGACGACGACGCTGATGACGACGTCATCGTCAAAGCATTTCAAGCTTGAAACTTGGCCTAAGGTTTCTGCTGAGGCGACGGCTACGTTGCCGCCCACGTACAGCCCAACAACAACAACAACAACAATAAAAACAAAAAACAAAACAAAAAAATTAACAAAGAGATACTTTTACACTCAGGCCACGGGAGCGGAAGCAACAGCTTTCAAAGCCGAGAGTGTGAGAGCGGAGAGTGGAGACCCGCAGTGCTGCGGACCGCGAGATTGGCGTGAGAGCGACTGCGGCGCCGACGGCGACGGCGACGGGCAGCGGATTGTCAAGCTTTTGCGGTTTTTAGTTACAGCCAGCCAACTTGTTTAGGCACAGTGGGTCGCAGTTTCATTTTCTAATATTCTTTTGAAAGTATAAGTAAAAATATATACCAACTGTACAACTTCATCGTGTGTGTAAAAAAATCTAGGTTGTACGAAAGCTTCTCAATTTAAACATTATTAATATTTATGTAAACTCAAATATAATGGTAATTTATGTTAGTATTTCGACTTCCACTTCTTTACAAAACAGATTTGGTGCTTTGGAACTTTAATCAAAGTTTTTCATCTAATAGGAGGTTAAAAACAATTAATTAATTTATTTGACTAAAGTACTGTCATTACTTAATTAAATTTCTTTTATTAATCAAATTATTATTATTAAACAATTGGGAACGATAAAAAGAGCTTAACAAAAATAAAACAACAGCAGATCGATTTTACAATAAATACATTAATTATTGATTATTGATGCTGACATTTTTATTGTGAAAATTTGCAGAAAAAAGTTGTATGCAACTTTTTCAACGCGCTTTAATACAAAATGGGCGTCAACGATTTTTTAGTTGAAAGTTTGCTTAACTCAATACGCTTAAAACTAATTAAACACGAATAAATGAGAATTTTATGAATGTGCCAGCGATTCTGAAAAACAACCCGCAACTGTGGTAAGTTGCAGGAAAGCGGTTGTAAAAAAGATTTTTATTTACCATTTCATCGGCATCATTTGATACGGGTCTTACTCTTTTCGCAAAATCTACCCCTCTTGGAAAAAAAAATGCGGTTAAATGTCTCATCGCGAGAATAAAATGGGAAGAAAATTTAAATTATGGATCTCAAACTCATATTCAAATATTTAGCAAAAAAAAATAGCTAGATTATCAACTGCCATGAAAATATTGCCGGAAAATAGTTGGAAAATTGATCTCTAAATCTTTAAACGTTGTACAACAGGAGCAATAACAATAGCTAAGCACACATGTGCTCGCACCACTGTGCAGCATGCTTTTGTCATTTACATTGTGGGGAGCAATTACATGCGACAAGCCAAGCGGCTGTTGGTTTCTTATGGCCTTTTTTTTTGTAGGCGTGGCCCAGTTTTGTTGTTGTAGTTTGCCACATTTGGCAGACACAATTTATGTCAAGCCAACATCTTTGGAGCTGTGCGAAAACATGCGTAAAAGTAGCTGCGAACGGAGCCCACTGCCCACTCCCGGACTCCCCCCCTCTTGTGTTGCTCCAATCCCAACTACAGTGTTGGCAAAGCATATGTGCATATGTATGCGTGGCTAATAGACGCAAAAATTAAAACGCCAGCAAACAGAAGCAAACTTTGCGGGCAACAACAAGAAAGGGTGACAAAATGAGTGAGAGAGCCGGCTGTGTGTGCGTGTGTGTGTGCATGGGAGGAGTGGGCGCTGGCTGCAGAGGCTGCATTTAACAGCGGCGTTGACAGCCGCGGCGACTATGAGAATGACGACGACGACGACGACGACGATGACGCTGGTATCTGTCAAACATGTCATACGCAAAATAGCTTAACTGTCATAAAAACAACAACAAGCGGCGGCGGCAGCAGTCAGGAGGGCCGTAAAACGCTTTATTACAATCCTAACAACAGCAACAACAACAACAACAACAACAACAGCAAGTCTAACGGGGCTCATATGGCAAATGTGCGGCAGCGTTTATGTCTAACAAGTGCAGGGCTTAAATTATGGGGGAGTGGGGCGCGGGATTCGTTTAAATTCTTATTGAAAAATTTTCTTGTTTTTTTTTTTTTTGTTTCGATTTATATTTGTATGCTTTATTTGTTTTATTTATTAACTTATTTCGCCGCTCGTGCAGCTGCCCCTTTTAGCCCAGGCTCGCGCTCCCACTCTCTCTCTCTCTCTCTTTCTCGTTCTCTTTGGTTGTTGCTGCTGCTGCTTCTTCTAGCCAAAACGCCAACGCCTCGTAGGCGCACACACACTCTGAGAATAGTTTTTCTTTTTGCCGTGTCCGTGTCCCCCCGTCTCTATGTGTGCGTGCGTGTGGCATTTTAATAATAGCACACACGTACAATATGAAAGCTCCCGCTGGAGCAGCAAAACAAAAAATATAGGCAAAACATAGAAAAAATGTTGCACTAAAAACTTCAACACCCGCATTCTGGCAAATACCAACATAGCAGAAAGCACACAACTTCTATGCAGCTCCAATTCATCCACACCCACACACATACAGCCACTCACCCATAGAGCCCTTTGCTTATGGGATGTGCGGGGGAGGGGTTCTCGGCTGGGTTAGGATGCCGCAATAAAGCTCATGTTGTCTGCGGCAAAGGCAACAGTTATACATATATATATATATATACGTACGTATGCACGCTGATTGGTTGAGCGGTAGCAGGGGGACGGTGGGCTTGGCTAGATACAACCCTTTCCCCAAAACAGGAAGTTTGTAGTTTCTTTCAATTAGCACAAGAGCGAGTGAGAGTGAGCGGGACAGAGAGAGAGAGAGAGAGAGAGAGGCAGATAGAGAAAGAGAGAGAAAGAGAGAGAGAGAGAGAGAGAGAGAGGAGAGAGATGAAAGGCAAGCCGAGAATTTATTTGCCGCATTTGTTCATCATAATATGGGCATACATACATATACATACAAACATATATGCATGTGCATACGTACATGCAATTAGATATTTTGTTGTATATTTGCGCAATTGCTATTTATATTTGTTGTTGTGACGGCATAAACAATGCTTACACAACGAAGGCGCGAATTTGGATTCGTTTATTAAATATTATTGCATTTGCGCTTGTTGCTGTCGTCGGAGCTGTCATTGTTGTTGTTTTTATGATTGCCGCGGCAAACACGCTAATAAAACATGTGACACAGGGCCACAACAAATCACACACAGACGCATACATATGTACATGTTTTAATGGAAATATACCTCTTGCTGTTGGCACCTCCGAGGGACGCGCGCGACGCCTCCACTTACTCCACCGAAAAACAACAACGATTAAAACACCGACAACCGAAAAGGCAACTTTGAGAGCGGTAACAAAGTGCAACGGCGGTTTGTGATTTGAACTCTTGCTACTTGCCGCCCCCGAGACAGCGAGAACGGCCTTTACTTTATTTTGTATATTTTGTTTTTGTATTTGCACACACACGCACACACTCGCTGCTTGATTTACAAACAAATTTGTGTTTAAACACTTTGTACACAAAACGCGCGCCCGAGCCAAAGGAATGCAAGTCGACGCTTGCTCTCTCGTGCAACGACTGAATCCGAAATGAGCAAAAGCACCGTTGAAACGGGCAAAACGGCGCCAGCTGATTTTTAAAACAGTGCTGTCAAATGATTGGTTATTAGACTAGACAGTGCAGACTAGCAGCTGCACTGCGGCATGTTTAGGTCGTTTCTCAACACTTATTTCCCTCAGGTGGCAACAATTTATATTAACAGCTAGGCGCGTAAATTTAAATTTATTTATACGATGGCAGTTGACAATTGAATAGTAAAAGTGACAAATGAAAATTAGAATTAATATTGCTACCCAGAATGATGTATATATGTATCATATAATTACGAACAAGTAGTATCGACTATATCTATGAAACATTAATGGCATTTCTTGTTGCACCATTTCCAGACGCATCCGTCGTTTTTGTTGCATCCAAATCCTCCGGGATATAGAGCACAAAAGTCCTCAGAGTTTTTGAACTCGCAGCTATTGTCTGGACAGAAATAATTGTAGCAGGCGGCGGAGCAGTTCTCTCGCTGACCCTGGGCACATCCAGAGCAGTTGAGCATTTCTGCAAATTCAATGAAACAGACAATATAGCTAATAGGCTTTTATTATGAGCTCCACTTACCGGTCTCTTGGCAATCGGCATTCATGCAACCCGACAATGGTGGATTCGGCGGCATTACTAGCATTGGCGGATCATTCAGCTGCACAATTCGTGGTGGCTTCAAATAGATCACTGGCTTAGTACAAATCCTTGGATCGCATAGCTTTTGAATGCGGTTAAAGCACACCCATGTTGGTGGATAGGGTCGACAGATACGCGGGCTCTTGACCGTGCAACAATCCGTCGCTGGCTGTGGGGTCACACTGGCTGACGTTGAGGTCGAAACTGTTAATTTCGTTGGTGGCTTCGCTTTGTCATAGCTGATATCCTCGTTCGGATCGTAGGGCCTAATGGTCTGGTACTCCACACGATTCACGTTCTCTGTCACCGTCTGATACTCATGCTTGTTCTTGATCACGTTATCTATCTCGAGTATGGTTGTCAAATAGCCTGGCGGCTGGCAGCGCTTGCCGCGCCACACCGTGCCCGCGGGACAGGCGGGCATAAGACAACGACCTGCATGGTATTCGCCCTGTGAGCAGATTATCTTGCGGCACTGTGCCTCAAAGAATATCGAGCCAGGTGGACAGCGGGCTTGTTCAGCAGGTTCAGGCACAGGCGGAGGTTCAAAGGTAGGTTCCTCGGTAGTGGTGGGTTCTTCTGTGGGCTCCTCGGTAGTTGTGGGTTCTTCTGTGGGTTCCTCGCTAGTGGTGGGCTCCTCTGTGGTAGTGGTGGTGGTGGTGGTGGTTGTTGTGGTTGTTGTGTTCGTAGTCGTGCTTGTAGGAGTGGGTGCATTTGGACAAGGTTCCGGGTTTATCAAATAGCACTTGCCGTCGGTATGCATAAAGTATTCTTAACCAAATTGTTGATATTTGTATAAGCTTTAAAATCGAATACAATTTTTACTGACCTTGCGGACACAAGCTCGGAGCAGGTGGGCGCTGGGTTGGGCCCGTGGTTGTGGGTGTCGGGGTTGTGGGTGTGGGTGCGTAGGGGCAAGGCTTCGGGTTTATCGAATAGCACATGCCATCCGTATGCATAAAGTAACCTAATCCGAATTATTGTTAAAATAAATAGCTTTCCAATCAATTGGATATTCAACTTACCTTCCTGACACAAGCTCTTCCTATAGCACAGGCCATTGACGAGCTCATAACCTTGTGGACACTATAAAGATTTCATTCATTATCTGTCGAATTGTGCAATCGACGCCGTATTACCTCTCCATTAGTATCTTGATAACCTTCCACGGCACACACAGATGAGCATATTACGCAGAATATCGACACTATCGCCCAGTTCGAAGTCAACATTTTCCCATGCGGCTTCAGGCGATGTTCTAACAACTAAGCTCGAACGGCAACTAATCGATTGCAGCTCACGAAAATTGTTTTGTGGCGCTTAAAACATAATTGCCCCGTCCTGATAACCTCTGCTGGAAAGCTGCACGTGTTAGGTGAAATGCGCCATTTTGAACGTTTGGCCAAGCCACAAACACAGCTCACAGATCATTTCTAATCGGTATGCTCGTCTATCAAGTGCTACTTCTACCTTGCGCTCTGCTGGCTCTTCATCTAGCCAGCGCCCGTGCCCAATGCCCCCAGAGCTCGGTTGCCGTGAACGCTCCGTGCGGGCAAGCAGCGATTTCTTGTAACGTGCCCTACGTTCCTCAGAATGGGGCTTGTGTGCTGCCTTTTCCGACTCCAAGTGGATGCGGTGAGTGATTATTTATTAGGTTCGCACAATATATATATATTCATATATATGTTTTATCATTATTCAGGTTCAGGCCAAGTCTGCGCAAACGGAGTTGTGGTACACGTTTTTCCGTCAGGGTTTACTAACGCACAATCCGTAAATTCGCTTTGTCCAAATCAACCAGTTCAGCCCCAACCTGCTCCGTGTCCAAATCAGCCTGTAATTCCCTATCCACCCGCTCAGTCCCAGCCTGCTCCCTGCCCAAATCAGCCTGTAACTCCGTATCCACCCGTTCCACCCGAGACCACAAATAGACCCTACCAGCCTCCTACTACAACAACCAGAGAAACCACAACAACCTGGAAAACGACGACAACCAGAACGACAACGACCACACCGCCGCCAGCTCCGCTGCGTATCTGCCCGAGAGGCACAGTTCTTATAAATGACAACTGCCGTCTGGTATATTGCGGCTCAAAAGTCTACTCAAACGGTCGTTGTGTGGAGCCGCGGTGCCCCAAGGGCACTTACTGGACGGGCCAGAAGTGCGCTCTACCCGAGCCGATTGAGTTGAGTCCCATTAATCTCCAGCGAACGATCATCAACGAGAACTCAAAGAATACGCCCGACTTGGTGCTAAATAATGTGCAGCATTTAACAGTCAATGCCTCGCTTACGCTACCAACGGATTACAGGGATTACGAGGAGGATTCCGAGGAGGAAGTGGAGGAAGCGGAGGAGATACAACCTCCGCCATCAGCTCCAATCAAATGCTGCACTGTGATTGCGCCACGCACCTGCCGCTGTCCGGCGGACAGTAATCGCTGGCAATGCTATAATCAGAGGCAGCAGCTGTGCGGCGACTTCTGTAGCGCGCCTAAGGTAGCGATAAGGCCAGCAAGTGTGAGCACCTGGCATGTCAACGATGCCCAAATGCTCAGCATGCCGCCCAACTGGAATGCCGGCTGTCAAATGCAGAGCAACTGCATGCAAGCCACAGGTGACTGGAATTAACTTTTAGATTTGGATCTCAAAGGGTTTCTTATGGGTTTTCCTTTTGCCATTAACTCTTCTAGAGAGGTATGACTGCAGCGGCTGTGCTTCGGGACAGATGTCCTCCTGTTCCCCCTACTGCTACGACTACCGCTGCAACAGCCCCACCTGTGCCTACTACGATCAAGAACAATTTTGCGATTCGCCGCAATTTGCCGACTCTGTGGGCTGCCGTCCTCAGGATGGCTGGCGTCGATAGGCAATGTGACCAGCTCAGCTTCAATAGGTGCTTTAAATGTTAAAAATAAAAATATGTTTTTTTTTTTACTTTTGTTTTGCAAATTAATAAAATAAAACTTGAATTTTTAAAAATCGCCCTTCTATGCGATTCTCATGAATTCAAGTATGACTTACAGGCTTGTGTTTACTCTCTAGCAGACTTTTCCTCCCCCCTCTCTCGCTTTTGTATGCTCTTCTATTGAAAGTGCAAGTGGTACGTAAATTGTTTGCCGCTGCGTGGGGCCAAATTATTATTGGAAATTGGTAAACAAATATAAGACTTGACGATGATGGATTTGAACCGGTAATTTCGCGCTAGTCAGTCCGACGCTCAAATACCAAAAGCATCATTGTCTGTTAAGCCTGTGCAAACAGGTCAAGCTCATTCAGACCTGGACACAGGTTATCACCTAGCTTTAATTTAGTATAATTAAAAAATATGCTTATGCGAGAATGTGCCAAAGTACATAGACCAAAATAAGTAAGAGCGTATTAAAAGAGTAGCATAATTTGCGAACAGTCATTATTGAGTATTTACTCAACTCTCGTCGTGAACTATTGCACCTTCTGCTGTGCATGACGTGCTCATACCTGATTCACCTGTGTACCACTGGGAGTGCTATCATCGCTATCTGACATTTTATTATGGCTTAAATTAATACAAAAAAAAAAACATTAAAATTAAAAAAAAAATAAATATATGATGCATTTGTTGGTCAACCTGTTAATTGATGGTCTAACTCATGGTACTCTTTCGCTCTCGCGCTCTCTCTTGCTCTCTCTCTCTCGCTCTATCTCTCTCTCAAACCGATAAATGGAGCATAATCAATTTTATAAGGTAACGCTATCTAATCAATGGTAGCGCTATCTAATAATTACCACATTTTTTAATTGGAGCACAGTTTTTGCTGCAGTAGAAAAAAAGAGTTTGCAACTAACAACTCGAAGGGAACAGAGCCAGCTGTTCCAAATATTCTGAAAATGGAGGTAGGTTTCCAACTTATTCATATATAATGCTATTTCATCGGAGGTATGACGGAATGTCACTTGATTCGTATCTTATAATGTGCAACTTTTGCAGCTTGCCGCTATCGCGTGTGCGCTGCTGCTGGCCATGGGACCATGGGTCAGTGGCGAGGTCAACGATACCATTAGGGATAAGATTGTGCTGCATACGCCGCTGCAGAACTATGAGCAGCCATCGTTGCGCGATTACGAGGACTGCCAGGCGAATCGACAGAGCTGCATGGATACCTGTGCCGGGCGGGACAAGTGCGAGTCGGAGTGTCCTCTCTGCCCGGAGCTTACGGATGAGCCGCTGCTGGTGCAGGGTGTTAACGATACCAGCTACGTGGCACCGGCACAGCCGGCCCTGAACACCACGAATATCATAAGGCTGACAAACGAGATTAACAATATTATCAAAACCAAAATTCAGGGCCGCAACGAGGTGAATGTCAAGGTGCATCAGAATGTCTCCCAGGTGGGCGGCCGCTTTGGTCTGGGCTACAATGAGCAGGGCTCCTGCTGTTATGTGGTGCGCCGAGAGCGAGTCTGCGAGCACAAGGAGCACTGCAGGGAGCACTCGCGTCATCGGGTTTGTGGCGAGCGTTGCCAAGCGCGAGTAATGCACGCGAAGCGTGTGGTCATCTGCGAGAAGGATCAGCCAGATGTGTGCCAGGAGACCGTGGAGTATGTTCCGGTTCACCGACGCAAGTCCAAGCCACGAAAGCAAGCCCGAACTCGTAGCCCAACCCGATCCCAATCGCAATCCCAAGCTCCACGCTGTTATAACTTGAGCGCTTGGCCCTATGTTGCCTGTGGCCAGGATCCGAACAGCATTCGTTTGAAACGCAGCAGCTGCCAAAACTGCTTGCAACTGAACTATGGCTACATCTTGCAGAACGGGCTGCCAGCCGGTTGCTCCGGCTGCTTTGTAAATTACGGGGCCCCATTGATTCCCACGCCGCTTTTGTATGCACCCTATCCATATCTAAACTTCAATAACTATCAGCCGCCACCAATGTACGAGGATCAGGGCCAGTTGCAGGAACCAGAGCAGGAGGAGGAGCAAGAAAAGGACACTGCCCAGGACAAGGAGCTGGACAATGACACCGATACCGACAGCGGTTGGGTGCTGGAATCGGAAAAGTGTGTGGGCGCCGATGGCCAATTGGAAGATTGCAAGAGCGGCGACAATGGTAACGATGTGCCCAAACGTAAGCCTTCGCCTCCAGCCCACTTGGAGGAGGACTCAAAGGACTATGACTACGATCCGGGCTACGATGTGCCCGCCCAGCGTCGACGACGCCGCCAAAGTAATGGCAAGTTTATACGTTCTTTATACAGCCGCCACACTAGCAAATAACCTAGCAAAACTACCTCAGCCACGCAAGGATTTCCAGCTGCACAGCCAACGAGTCCAAACCGCTTTTCAATTTTAAGAAGTTGAAAAAAGTAGAATAAAATACAAGAAAAGAGAACTCCTATTAAAAATTGCATACATGGCGCTAACGTAATAAAACTAAATTTAACACACTTTGTTCAGTCCACATTATTATTGCTTCGGCTGCGATGTATTTTAATCTATGAAGGGAGATTACGCGTTCAAGGGGAAAAATATGTGAGTAAATTTCTAAGACCATGAATCAGGCTGTTCGAATAATTGGACTGATGCATCATTGACTGACTCAGATTCTATTCCCCCTATTTTACTACTTTCATCGATTAAGCAAACAGATAAATGGACTTGACCAAAGACAATATAAACACTAATTAATTTTAATTTTGTTTTTATTTTATTATTTTTTGTTAGAATTATAAAGAAGAACACCGCAAGGAGGCCATTATAATTATAACTAAATATGAGCTTGGAGTCGACTTGAAATGTAATTGTATTTTTTAGCACTATTTTATTTCTTAATTGGAGAATAAAAATAATATTAATTTAATTTAAAGAAATTATGTAAATATTTGCATCGACTAAGAAATACATATTTTCTGCGGAGCCAACCCTAGTACACAAAATGCATTCCTATATATCAACACAAAATTGGGATAGTTCAGGATCTGCGCTAGAAAACTAACAAAATTAATTTCTTGCCAGCTAAAGCCAGAGCAGTCGATCGTAAGTTCTAAACTTTTTCGCTCAATGTACTTCGAAAACGAAGTGACGCAAAGCTTTGCGGAAGGCAGACTGGCGACTAACTTCGTAGCTCGTGTCAGCATCAGCGAGCCGCGACTTCGGCATTCGTTCGTCTGGTCTTTGGAGAACAAACAACCTGTCGGCAGGCATGCAGTACGAAGCCTCAAAGGCCAGATGAAAGGCCAGGCCAGAAATTTTACGTCGCATTCAAATGTTTGGGCGTTACTCCTCTTAGTGTTTATATTGTCTTTGGCTTGACCATATCGGGCAAATCGCTTATCTAAGTTTCTGATGATTAACTCAATTTCGTTAAGAGGTGAAGTCATCAAAAAAAGGAACATTTTCTTAACCTGATGACGATTTACGAGAGCACAAAATACACATAAAACTGAGGGTAAAGTGTGCATAAAATACACAATTTATATTTTATATAAAAAATATATAAATTATGTACATATGGTACGAAAAATAATGTAGTTTCTATAGTAAAAAAAAATCATCTGGTCATGATCAGTAATATATATACACAAATATAGTATTCTCCAATATGGCCGTGAAAACTTTCTGCTTCACATTTCAGAAATATTTTTTTCACCAATGTTTCGCCAGTGAAAAAGGTAATCTATTTGAAAATATTTATAAAATCATTCGGAAAAAAAAAACAAAAGATGGAATCGGTTTCCGCCGATCTTGAGGTGGGAATCTTTAAGCTGAAAAATGTACTTTCAAAAATTTTCCACACTGATCACAGAAAATGAGTTTGAAGCCAAATTTCCGCACGTTTGGGTGGAATTTCCAAAATCGCTGGAACACATAATAATGTTTTTAATGGATTGCTTTAAATTGCTTGTGGACCATGGAACAAAACATAAAACTCCACCCTTATAACCTGTCAACCGCATACTTTATCCAAGAGAAATTGAGAAATGAATTAAAAAAAAAAGATTTTTAAAAATAAGCTTGAGGCCAATCGGATGTTAAACAAAAGAGTTTCATACAAACTAATTTTTCTACACCTACGGGTGGAATTTTTCAACACCCCGCTTAATGTGCATATCCTGATATAATTTCCAGTGAAAAGCTTAGCTTCTTACTTTTCACAGTTTGATCACGAACCAGTTAGTGGGTCACTCTTAGTCAGGACAAACTGTTTTATATATGATTGTAACATAGACTTGCTCAACTTTATTATAAACTTTTTACTCGGTTTTTTTATACGTTGCAAAGACCGTTTATAGAACAATATATCCAATCGTTGGTTAATCAATATGAGGCAGTATATTATATGAGGTTACATAATTGAAGGGGACTAGCCTTAAGGGCTTAGCAAATTTTTTCATTTCATAGTTCAATATATCATTTGTCATGTATATATATATATATATATATATATATTTTATATATTTATATATATATAAATATATAAAATATATATATATATATATATTATATATATATATATATTTTATATATTTATATATATTTAATCTAATTTCAACAAAGTGCACACCCATGTTGGTGGATAGGGTCGACAGATACGCGGGCTCTTGACCGTGCAACAATCCGTCGCTGGCTGTGGGGTCACACTGGCTGACGTTGAGGTCGAAACTGTTAATTTCGTTGGTGGCTTCGCTTTGTCATAGCTGATATCCTCGTTCGGATCGTAGGGCCTAATGGTCTGGTACTCCACACGATTCACGTTCTCTGTCACCGTCTGATACTCATGCTTGTTCTTGATCACGTTATCTATCTCGAGTATGGTTGTCAAATAGCCTGGCGGCTGGCAGCGCTTGCCGCGCCACACCGTGCCCGCGGGACAGGCGGGCATAAGACAACGACCTGCATGGTATTCGCCCTGTGAGCAGATTATCTTGCGGCACTGTGCCTCAAAGAATATCGAGCCAGGTGGACAGCGGGCTTGTTCAGCAGGTTCAGGCACAGGCGGAGGTTCAAAGGTAGGTTCCTCGGTAGTGGTGGGTTCTTCTGTGGGCTCCTCGGTAGTTGTGGGTTCTTCTGTGGGTTCCTCGCTAGTGGTGGGCTCCTCTGTGGTAGTGGTGGTGGTGGTGGTGGTTGTTGTGGTTGTTGTGTTCGTAGTCGTGCTTGTAGGAGTGGGTGCATTTGGACAAGGTTCCGGGTTTATCAAATAGCACTTGCCGTCGGTATGCATAAAGTATTCTTAACCAAATTGTTGATATTTGTATAAGCTTTAAAATCGAATACAATTTTTACTGACCTTGCGGACACAAGCTCGGAGCAGGTGGGCGCTGGGTTGGGCCCGTGGTTGTGGGTGTCGGGGTTGTGGGTGTGGGTGCGTAGGGGCAAGGCTTCGGGTTTATCGAATAGCACATGCCATCCGTATGCATAAAGTAACCTAATCCGAATTATTGTTAAAATAAATAGCTTTCCAATCAATTGGATATTCAACTTACCTTCCTGACACAAGCTCTTCCTATAGCACAGGCCATTGACGAGCTCATAACCTTGTGGACACTATAAAGATTTCATTCATTATCTGTCGAATTGTGCAATCGACGCCGTATTACCTCTCCATTAGTATCTTGATAACCTTCCACGGCACACACAGATGAGCATATTACGCAGAATATCGACACTATCGCCCAGTTCGAAGTCAACATTTTCCCATGCGGCTTCAGGCGATGTTCTAACAACTAAGCTCGAACGGCAACTAATCGATTGCAGCTCACGAAAATTGTTTTGTGGCGCTTAAAACATAATTGCCCCGTCCTGATAACCTCTGCTGGAAAGCTGCACGTGTTAGGTGAAATGCGCCATTTTGAACGTTTGGCCAAGCCACAAACACAGCTCACAGATCATTTCTAATCGGTATGCTCGTCTATCAAGTGCTACTTCTACCTTGCGCTCTGCTGGCTCTTCATCTAGCCAGCGCCCGTGCCCAATGCCCCCAGAGCTCGGTTGCCGTGAACGCTCCGTGCGGGCAAGCAGCGATTTCTTGTAACGTGCCCTACGTTCCTCAGAATGGGGCTTGTGTGCTGCCTTTTCCGACTCCAAGTGGATGCGGTGAGTGATTATTTATTAGGTTCGCACAATATATATATATTCATATATATGTTTTATCATTATTCAGGTTCAGGCCAAGTCTGCGCAAACGGAGTTGTGGTACACGTTTTTCCGTCAGGGTTTACTAACGCACAATCCGTAAATTCGCTTTGTCCAAATCAACCAGTTCAGCCCCAACCTGCTCCGTGTCCAAATCAGCCTGTAATTCCCTATCCACCCGCTCAGTCCCAGCCTGCTCCCTGCCCAAATCAGCCTGTAACTCCGTATCCACCCGTTCCACCCGAGACCACAAATAGACCCTACCAGCCTCCTACTACAACAACCAGAGAAACCACAACAACCTGGAAAACGACGACAACCAGAACGACAACGACCACACCGCCGCCAGCTCCGCTGCGTATCTGCCCGAGAGGCACAGTTCTTATAAATGACAACTGCCGTCTGGTATATTGCGGCTCAAAAGTCTACTCAAACGGTCGTTGTGTGGAGCCGCGGTGCCCCAAGGGCACTTACTGGACGGGCCAGAAGTGCGCTCTACCCGAGCCGATTGAGTTGAGTCCCATTAATCTCCAGCGAACGATCATCAACGAGAACTCAAAGAATACGCCCGACTTGGTGCTAAATAATGTGCAGCATTTAACAGTCAATGCCTCGCTTACGCTACCAACGGATTACAGGGATTACGAGGAGGATTCCGAGGAGGAAGTGGAGGAAGCGGAGGAGATACAACCTCCGCCATCAGCTCCAATCAAATGCTGCACTGTGATTGCGCCACGCACCTGCCGCTGTCCGGCGGACAGTAATCGCTGGCAATGCTATAATCAGAGGCAGCAGCTGTGCGGCGACTTCTGTAGCGCGCCTAAGGTAGCGATAAGGCCAGCAAGTGTGAGCACCTGGCATGTCAACGATGCCCAAATGCTCAGCATGCCGCCCAACTGGAATGCCGGCTGTCAAATGCAGAGCAACTGCATGCAAGCCACAGGTGACTGGAATTAACTTTTAGATTTGGATCTCAAAGGGTTTCTTATGGGTTTTCCTTTTGCCATTAACTCTTCTAGAGAGGTATGACTGCAGCGGCTGTGCTTCGGGACAGATGTCCTCCTGTTCCCCCTACTGCTACGACTACCGCTGCAACAGCCCCACCTGTGCCTACTACGATCAAGAACAATTTTGCGATTCGCCGCAATTTGCCGACTCTGTGGGCTGCCGTCCTCAGGATGGCTGGCGTCGATAGGCAATGTGACCAGCTCAGCTTCAATAGGTGCTTTAAATGTTAAAAATAAAAATATGTTTTTTTTTTTACTTTTGTTTTGCAAATTAATAAAATAAAACTTGAATTTTTAAAAATCGCCCTTCTATGCGATTCTCATGAATTCAAGTATGACTTACAGGCTTGTGTTTACTCTCTAGCAGACTTTTCCTCCCCCCTCTCTCGCTTTTGTATGCTCTTCTATTGAAAGTGCAAGTGGTACGTAAATTGTTTGCCGCTGCGTGGGGCCAAATTATTATTGGAAATTGGTAAACAAATATAAGACTTGACGATGATGGATTTGAACCGGTAATTTCGCGCTAGTCAGTCCGACGCTCAAATACCAAAAGCATCATTGTCTGTTAAGCCTGTGCAAACAGGTCAAGCTCATTCAGACCTGGACACAGGTTATCACCTAGCTTTAATTTAGTATAATTAAAAAATATGCTTATGCGAGAATGTGCCAAAGTACATAGACCAAAATAAGTAAGAGCGTATTAAAAGAGTAGCATAATTTGCGAACAGTCATTATTGAGTATTTACTCAACTCTCGTCGTGAACTATTGCACCTTCTGCTGTGCATGACGTGCTCATACCTGATTCACCTGTGTACCACTGGGAGTGCTATCATCGCTATCTGACATTTTATTATGGCTTAAATTAATACAAAAAAAAAAACATTAAAATTAAAAAAAAAATAAATATATGATGCATTTGTTGGTCAACCTGTTAATTGATGGTCTAACTCATGGTACTCTTTCGCTCTCGCGCTCTCTCTTGCTCTCTCTCTCTCGCTCTATCTCTCTCTCAAACCGATAAATGGAGCATAATCAATTTTATAAGGTAACGCTATCTAATCAATGGTAGCGCTATCTAATAATTACCACATTTTTTAATTGGAGCACAGTTTTTGCTGCAGTAGAAAAAAAGAGTTTGCAACTAACAACTCGAAGGGAACAGAGCCAGCTGTTCCAAATATTCTGAAAATGGAGGTAGGTTTCCAACTTATTCATATATAATGCTATTTCATCGGAGGTATGACGGAATGTCACTTGATTCGTATCTTATAATGTGCAACTTTTGCAGCTTGCCGCTATCGCGTGTGCGCTGCTGCTGGCCATGGGACCATGGGTCAGTGGCGAGGTCAACGATACCATTAGGGATAAGATTGTGCTGCATACGCCGCTGCAGAACTATGAGCAGCCATCGTTGCGCGATTACGAGGACTGCCAGGCGAATCGACAGAGCTGCATGGATACCTGTGCCGGGCGGGACAAATGCGAGTCGGAGTGTCCTCTCTGCCCGGAGCTTACGGATGAGCCGCTGCTGGTGCAGGGTGTTAACGATACCAGCTACGTGGCACCGGCACAGCCGGCCCTGAACACCACGAATATCATAAGGCTGACAAACGAGATTAACAATATTATCAAAACCAAAATTCAGGGCCGCAACGAGGTGAATGTCAAGGTGCATCAGAATGTCTCCCAGGTGGGCGGCCGCTTTGGTCTGGGCTACAATGAGCAGGGCTCCTGCTGTTATGTGGTGCGCCGAGAGCGAATCTGCGAGCACAAGGAGCACTGCAGGGAGCACTCGCGCCATCGGGTTTGTGGCGAGCGTTGCCAAGCGCGAGTAATGCACGCGAAGCGTGTGGTCATCTGCGAGAAGTATCAGCCAGATGTGTGCCAGGAGACCGTGGAGTATGTTCCGGTTCACCGACGCAGGTCCAAGCCACGAAAGCAAGCCCGAACTCGAAGCCCAACCCGATCCCAATCGCAATCCCAAGCTCCACGCTGTTATAACTTGAGCGCTTGGCCCTATGTTGCCTGTGGCCAGGATCCGAACAGCATTCGTTTGAAACGCAGCAGCTGCCAAAACTGCTTGCAACTGAACTATGGCTACATCTTGCAGAACGGGCTGCCAGCCGGTTGCACCGGCTGCTTTGTAAATTACGGGGCCCCATTGATTCCCACGCCGCTTTTTTATGCACCCTATCCATATCTAAACTTCAATAACTATCAGCCGCCACCAATGTACGAGGATCAGGGCCAGTTGCAGGAAGCAGAGCAGGAGGAGGAGCAGGAAAAGGACACTGCCCAGGACAAGGAGCTGGACAATGACACCGATACCGACAGCGGTTGGGTGCTGGAATCGGAAAAGTGTGTGGGCGACGATGGCCAATTGGAAGATTGCAAGAGCGGCGACAATGGTAACGATGTGCCCAAACGTAAGCCTTCGCCTCCAGCCCACTTGGAGGAGGACTCAAAGGACTATGACTACGATCCGGGCTACGATGTGCCCGCCCAGCGTCGACGACGCCGCCAAAGTAATGGCAAGTTTATACGTTCTTTATACAGCCGCCACACTAGCAAATAACCTAGCAAAACTACCTCAGCCACGCAAGGATTTCCAGCTGCACAGCCAACGAGTCCAAACCGCTTTTCAATTTTAAGAAGTTGAAAAAAGTAGAATAAAATACAAGAAAAGAGAACTCCTATTAAAAATTGCATACATGGCGCTAACGTAATAAAACTAAATTTAACACACTTTGTTCAGTCCACATTATTATTGCTTCGGCTGCGATGTATTTTAATCTATGAAGGGAGATTACGCGTTCAAGGGGAAAAATATGTGAGTAAATTTCTAAGACCATGAATCAGGCTGTTCGAATAATTGGACTGATGCATCATTGACTGACTCAGATTCTATTCCCCCTATTTTACTACTTTCATCGATTAAGCAAACAGATAAATGGACTTGACCAAAGACAATATAAACACTAATTAATTTTAATTTTGTTTTTATTTTATTATTTTTTGTTAGAATTATAAAGAAGAACACCGCAAGGAGGCCATTATAATTATAACTAAATATGAGCTTGGAGTCGACTTGAAATGTAATTGTATTTTTTAGCACTATTTTATTTCTTAATTGGAGAATAAAAATAATATTAATTTAATTTAAAGAAATTATGTAAATATTTGCATCGACTAAGAAATACATATTTTCTGCGGAGCCAACCTCAGTACACAAAATGCATTCATATATATCAACACAAAATTGGGATAGTTCAGGATCTGCGCTAGAAAACTAACAAAATTAATTTCTTGCCAGCTAAAGCCAGAGCAGTCGATCGTAAGTTCTAAACTTTTTCGCTCAATGTACTTCGAAAACGAAGTGACGCAAAGCTTTGCGGAAGGCAGACTGGCGACTAACTTCGTAGCTCGTGTCAGCATCAGCGAGCCGCGACTTCGGCATTCGTTCGTCTGGTCTTTGGAGAACAAACAACCTGTCGGCAGGCATGCAGTACGAAGCCTCAAAGGCCAGATGAAAGGCCAGGCCAGAAATTTTACGTCGCATTCAAATGTTTGGGCGTTACTCCTCTTAGTGTTTATATTGTCTTTGGCTTGA